CAACCAGCATGGGTTCATTAGAGGCAGGTCCTGTCAGACCAACCTGATTGCCTTCTATGATCAGGTCACAAAATCACTGGACGCAGGTGTCGCTGTGGATGTAGTCTTTCTGGACTTCAGCAAGGCCTTTGACACTCTGTCCCATCCCATCCTCGTTAAAAAGCTAGGCGACTGTGGCACTGATGCCTGCACAGTCAGATGGGTCGCAAATTGGCTGAGGGGTCGTACTCGGAGAGTGGTGGTGGACGGGTCATATTCGACCTGGAGGGAAGTAGGCAGTGGGGTCCCCCAAGGCTCGGTCCTTGGGCCTGCACTGTTCAGTATCTTTTATTAGTGACTTGGACGAGGGGGTGAAGAGCAGCCTGTTTAAATTCGCAGACGACACCAAGATTTGGGGTGAGAAGGGAAGAAGGGAAGGACAGGTTACAGCAAGACCTGGACAGGTTACAGGGGTGGGCAAATGAAAATAGGATGGGACTCAATACTGACAAGTGCAAGGTGCTGCACTTGGGCAGTGGGAACCAGCAGCACACCTACAGGCTGGGGGACTCCCTTCTTGCCAGTGTTGAGACAGAAAAGCATCTTGGAGTCATCATTGATGCCACAATGAACATGGGCCGACAGTGTGGGGCCAGGATGAACATGGGCTGCCAATGCGAGAACAGTCAGTAGGGCTAACCATACCTTGTTGTGTATCCACAGATGCATCTCGAGCAGGTCCAAGGAGGTGATCCTCCCCCTCTACGCGACACTGGTCAGGTCCCAGCTGGACTACTGCGTCCAGTTCTGGGCGCCGCATTTCAGGAGGGATGTGGACAGCATAGAGAGGGTCCAGAGGAGGCCACCCGCATGATCAGGGGGCAGCAGAGCAGGCCCTATGAGGAGAGGCTACGGGACCTGAACCTGTTCAGTCTCCACAAGAGAAGGCCGAGAGGGGACCTGGTGATCGTCTATAAACTTACCAGGGGGGACCAGCGGGGTTTGGGAGAGACCTTGTTCCCCTGAGCACCTCCCAGAGTAACAAGGAATAACGGCCATAAATTGCTAGAGAGTAGGTTCAGACTAGACATCCGAAGACGCTAGTTCACTGTCAGGGCGGCTAGGATCTGGAACCAACTGCCGAGAGAAGTGGTGCTGGCTCCTACCCTGGGGGCCTTTAGGAGCAAGCTTGATGTTTACCCGGCCGGGGTCATTTGAGCCGTTTTCTTCCTGCCCAGGGAAGGGGTCAGCCTAGGTCTACAAAGTCTCTTCCAACCCTACATCTATGAGTCTATGATACTGGGTGTTGTAGGTATATATTTTATATTTGTTGCTCTGTGTGTGTGTGTATATATATATATATGTGTGTGTGTGTGTGTCTGTAATATTTGTTATCTATATATCTAGATATATATATTTGTTGTGTATATATACATATAGATATTATATTAGTGTTGTGTGTGTACGTGTATAATATATACATAACCGATTGTTGTGTACGTACGTTTCATACGTGTTGTTGCCGCAGTGAGGTTGCTGCAGCAGCCCGGGCTAGCACCACTCCAGTCTTTTGTCCTTTGCTCGTTTGTAACCGAGAGGCCACCTTCACGTTTCCGCACGTAGCGCAGAGACGCCCCGGGCCGCGCCCCTGCCCCT